TGTAAAATTAACTCATTTTGGTGGGACAGGCACTCTCACGGCAAAATAAATCAGGAAATATCCCTGCCTTAAAACCCACTTCAGATCTCCAATTTCAAAGCCAATCCTTCGTTCCTCTTACTTTTTTTGTTGTTTAAAAACGCAGCGAGAATTTATCGACCATTCCACTCCACTCATCCATTCATTCGAAGTCCCTCCATTTACTTTCGGTTTGCCTCCTCCTTCTTCGCTCTTCTTTCTACTTCCTTCTTTGTCCTTTCTGCTCCTCCGCTGTGCTCCTCCCTTTAATAATATGTACACAATAATTATTCCCCGGATGGATTACAATATGAACTTGACGCAACGCAACGCAATGGAAAAAGCAAAACGGAAACAGGAAAAACTCCGTTGAACTCTGAACCCCCCACCCACCATGGGGAAGGTCTGGGCTCCACTCCATTGTGTGGCTTCCACCTTGAGAGTGTGAAAAGTGCAGCACACGCACTTAATTATCGTGAGGATACATTTACTTAACATTCGGAGCCATTTCTTTGGAATTATTTTCAACACTCGATAGTTTTTCCATTTACTGATATATTTTTACTAAAAATTTTTTAGTCTTTTCGATTTTTACATTAAATATTTACTTTTTTTATTAAAAATTGTAATACAATTATCTAAAAAATAATTTGTTTCAACTTTTTTGATTTGATTATTATTTATTTATTTAATTATTTAATTGCAATTAAAAATGAATTTTTTTTTTAATGTTAGTTATTATTTTTTGTTGTTCATATTTAAATTTCATATTGCTATTTATTTTATTTTTTTAATAAATTTACATACAATTTATTACATTTTTACGTTTTAATTTAAATATAAAAACAATTTTGTTGATTATTAATTTTTATTTTTTATTTCAATTTCACACCAAACATTTATTTATATGTATCATGATTTATTTTAAGATACATTTTAATGTGAATATTCTTTAAAATGGTCCTTTTACTTTGCGAATTTTTTGTATTATTATTTATTTTTTTTTTATTATTATTTATTTTTATTGTATTATTATTTATTTTTATTGTATTATTATTTATTTATATATTTTTTTTTAATCTTTTATTTTATTAAAACTTTAATTTAAAAATAAAAAAAAATTTTAAGTATATTTATATATACATATTTTTTGTATTTAAATTTGATGCAAATTATTTACTCATATTTTTTTTTTAAATAAACATTTCCACAATATCTCTTAAATTTTCCGTGCCGTATAAGTACCCTGCAGAGCCCCTGCCCATCTTCGAAGTTTAACAAAGATTTTCCGTCACTTTAAAACAAAATCAACATTTAGTTTGTCCATAAATGTTCGCATATTATATATTCATTTCCCAGAGAGGAGTGCGCAAACTTCTGTAGTTTTGCTGCAGATATTCTGCTGCTTAGAGGAGCTAGCTCCAACCGGAAATTGTGCTTATGCAATTGCACCACCTCAGCCCGCCCCCGCCCGCACCTAACCGGAAGAGAGCTTCGAAGTCTGGCAAGGAAAAAAAAAAAATGTCAAAAACTTGTCGAAAAAAGAAGAAGACGAGAGAGTGGGAAAACTGCAAAGAAAACTCCACTCTGGAAGCTGGAGCTGGAGCTGGAGCTGAAGCTGAACTCTAGACAATGGCAGTGTAATTTGCAGTTGAAATGTTAAGCAAAACGTAATAACTGCAAAAAAAAGAGTTGACAATGTTCCTAACCCAAGTTTCTATACAGTTTTTCTCCACTGATTTCCCTTTTGCTTTTCTTCTTTGCTGGGTTTTTTTCCCTGCTGCTGCTGCTGCCCTGTCAACAGCAATAAAAGTCAATTGTCAACGTTGACTGGCATTCTTTGGAGCCCGTGTGTGTGTGTGTGTGTGTGAGAGAGAGAGAGAGATGGAGAGAGTCCGAAGGGGGACTCCTGGACGAACGATTTTCAGGTATTCCGCCAAAACTTCTTCTCCTCCACTGCCTGTCACTTAACATTTTTCTCCAATGTCCAAAAGTTACACACAAGAGTGCGAAAGAGATGGCCAAAGGGTTAGAAGAAAGAGATAGATAGATGGGCGGATAGTCTGCTATGCAGAAATCAGGAAAATGCTTCATAAAAACGGAAATGAAAACAAATGAAAAATGATTTTTACTTATGGGAGAGAGCAAATTGTTCCACACACACACACACACACACACAGGTGTTCCTGCTTGTTGCAACTAAATTGCATTTGAAGTGTGGCAGGCACAGCTGTTGCTGTGCCCCAGAATCGAGAACAAAAGGTACTTTCACTGTGGAAAAGATTTGATAATTTTCCTGCATCTTTTGGCCTGCTCTTTGCTCATTTCTTTTGTTGTTTGACCATTTTTTTTAAAGAAGAGTTCACTAGCAGGATTTCCGTTGAAAGGTGAACCCAAAGGGCGGCCGCTGCTTGACCTTTTTTTGTTGTTCTTAAACCCGAAGGATCAGTGGTTGACTTTCAGTGGGCGGAAGCCCCCAAAGTAACCGCAAAATAGCGGCAGGGCAATGGGGGAGGGGGTGTGGGGACCACTTGTAGAGCCTTACACATGCCTTTTATTAAAAAATTAAAATTGCTAACCGAAAGAAAAGAAAAAAAGAAAGAAACCGACAAAAAAGGTGGATATTTTCTTGCTCCTTTTTGTTGTTGTTGTTTTTGCTGGCTAAAATAATCAGGCAACTTAATTGAATCAAGTTGCAAGACGATCCGGGGAACCCTCCGCCCCCCAACCCCCACCCCTTAATAAGCGACAAAAGAAAAGGCCACAAGGAAAGGGGTTGCACACAAGAGAAAGAGAGAGGATGGGAGTGGAGTGTGGAGAAGGGTAAACGGAAAGGCATTGAGTGGGGAAACAAGGTCTAAGGAGTGAAAATGTGCGCAAGAAATCAAATAAATTGAAGTGAAAACAAATAGCCCTGAATGTTGGTCAGGGGACACGCGGGGGGCGTGGGCAAAAAAGGGGCTCAACATTCCATCAGAAGCCCACAATAACAACTCTCCGGCCGCCACTGCCACTGCCACTGCCGCTGCCGCTGCTGCCTTATTTATAAATTAACAGTAACAATTTTTCCCGCCGGACATACACTTAAAAATTTTTGTGCATAAAAGTTTAATATTTCTCCTCCCCTCGCAGTTTTCGCTTCTTATGCTTTATACCCTTACCAGGGAAGGTATGATGAGAGCCATAAAGTAGACAAAAATATAAGAGAGGGAGAATTGCTAATGGAAATATGCAAATAGATCTTTTACTTTATGGGGTTTTGCGGGTTGATGTTTCATAGAAACATCATAGTTTATGGGGCTGTTCCTCTACTGAGAAGCGGCGCATGGAAACAAATAAATACAAACAAATATCCACCTCGCTGCTTTGCAGGTTCGTGCACGACGAAAGCCGAAGAGAGCGGCTGATCTGTCTGTGCGCCTAATACATATAAACGTCATACCTGATGGAGCGACTGCGAGGCGACTGAGGAACGACTGCGAGGCGACTGCGTAACGACTGAGGAGAGGCTTATAAAAACAAATAAATACAAACACATACGAATCACACCTCGCTTCTTTGCAAGTTCGTGCACGTCGAAAGCCGAAGATAGCGGCTGATCTGCCTGTATGCCTAATACATACAAATGTCATACTTGATGGAGCGACTGCGAGGCGACTGAGGAACGACTGCGAAACGATTGACCAACGACTGAGAAGCTACGGCTTATGGAAACAAATAAAAACAAACATACGAATCGCACTTCGCTGCTTTGCAAGTTCCTGAAAACCGAAGAGAGCGGCGGATCTGCCTGTGCGCCTAAGCGAAGAGAGCCGAAGCGAACGAAACTATGCAAAGATTGTTGTTGCTTTTTACTTTGGTTTTTCTGCCAAAGACAGAAGCGCAGCTGTATTGTTGTTGTTTTGCTAGGTTGCTCGCTATCTCTGGCAGAAGTGGAGGGGAGTGATTAAGGGGAGTGATCAAGGCAACGATTGAAAACCGAGTGTAAACGAGGGCATGTTGGGCGTTGATTTATAGATTTATATATTCCACAAAAAACCTTTTTTTTTAATTTTTATTGCATTCGTTTGTAGAGCTGAAGCCTGTTAGAGTATCAATTTGCTCGACCTCTCTAAAGTGTGGCATTTCCTACTTGTTCTTTCCGTTTCCTTATTTTCATTCTTGTTGTTCTTTGTGTCTGTGTGTGTGTGTGTGTGGGTGTGCTTTGGCCCAGGAAAAAGGAAAAGCCCCGGACAAGGTCCTTTTGCCGTCGCTTAAGCAAATAATTTCTTTTCTTAGGCGCTCGCTTTTGCCTTTTATGCTTCGTTTCGCACCAACCACCACCCACCCAACACAAACCCCCCTGCTGGACAGCTGCAGTGGGTACAGCTGCTTCTCCTCCCACTCCTACTCCTTCTTTGGGAATCTTGCTGCTCCTCTTTGCTGGCGATACTCCCTGTTGTGCGTTTTGTTTTTAGTTGCCTCCTCCTTCGCCGCCGTCGCCATCGCGTTGTTTGGCCTGCACTTCTCACGCACACACTTTGGGGAATTTACCTAGCACTTGGTCGTCGTCGTCGTTCGCCCCCCGCCCCACGCCCCTCAAAGATCTTTAGCAAACTTAAATTTTGTTTGCTTGCAAATATTCCCGAAAGGTTGTGAAATATCATCATTCCAAGCAAACCCAACAGATCTCGAGCAACGTAAAAGATCTTTATTGATATGCACTCGGTTTACTTTGAACTGAAACTGTGGATACCCTAACAAGGAAATATATAACGAAAGCCAAACGAAATCAAGATAAACCCCTAATCAACCGTTTCACTGGGTATCACGAATGATTTTACAAAATGTTTGTTTTTTGTGCCCCCCTAAGCATGATGGAGCGCCTTTTCTCCCCCATAGAACAAAGCTTTTTTTCTTATCAGCTAAAAGCTTACCATTATACATATATAGTAGGAACCTTCAGGGAGGTCCACTCAATCAGTCTTTACTTGCGGTCCGCCATGAGAATACTTTTCGTGTTTATCGGGTCGATTTTGTTGGCTTTGGGTGGCCTACCGCTGCCCGCGGAGGGGGCCAAAATCTTGGCCACTCTGGCCTGGCCGGGACGCTCCCAGTACATCTTCGTGGAGAACTATCTGAAGGGATTGGCGGCCCGAGGTCATGAGGTCACGGTGATCAATACATTCAAGAACAAGGCCACACCGAATATGCGTTTCATAGAGGCCCTCAAAGTCCAAGAGTTTCACCAACAAATGCTAGCCGAATTGGAGGCATCCACGCTGTGGCAGGAACTCAATGCCATATCGGGACTTGAGGAAAAGATCGCGGCCTTTACCCTGGACGATGAGGCTGTCCAGAAGCTGATGAAATCTGGCGAGACTTTCGATGTGGTGCTGGCCGAAATGATTGAAGTACCAGCGCTGTACGGGATGGCACAGCATTTCAATGCCACCTTGGTGGGTTTTTCCAGCTACGGCAGCGACTACCGGATCGACAGTCAATTGGGGAATACCTCGCCATTGTCCTATAATCCTTCGATTATGTCGCCACGCACCGATCGCATGTCCTTCTGCGAGCGACTCACGAATCACTACGAATATCTAGTGGAAATGCTGCACCGCCAATTGGTGCACCTCCCGGCCATGGAGCGAATGTACAACAAGTATTATCCGAATGCCAGGCAAACGATGGATGAGGTCTTGGACTCGTTTGCCTTGGTGCTGCTGGGACAGCATTTTTCACTGTCATATCCACGCCCGTATCTGCCGAATATGATTGAGGTGGGAGGATTGCATATTGCCCACAAGCCCCAGCCCCTGCCAGAGGACATCAAGGCGTTTATCGAGGGAGCCGAGCATGGGGTCATCTACTTCTCGATGGGTTCGAATGTGAAAAGCAAGGATCTGCCCCAGGAGACACGCGATACGCTGCTCAAGACTTTCGGGAAACTCAAGCAGCGAGTGCTGTGGAAATTCGAAGACGATCAGTTGCCGGGAAAACCCGCCAATGTACTGATCAAAAAGTGGTTCCCCCAGCCGGATATTCTGGCCCAAACGAATGTCAAGCTGTTCATCACCCACGGCGGATTGCTGAGCACCATCGAGAGCCTGTATTTTGGCAAGCCCGTGCTCGGCCTGCCCGTCTTCTACGATCAGCACATGAATGTGGCACGCGCTCGACGCGTGGGCTTTGGCCTGGGCCTCGATTTGTACAACCTAAACGAGCAGGACCTCGAGGAGGCCATCCACAAACTGCTCTCCGAACCCAGCTTTGCCAAGGCCTCTGCCCAGATCTCAGAGCGGTATCGCGATCAGCCCCAGCCATCGCTGGAGCGGGCCATTTGGTGGACCGAATACGTCATCAGGCACCAGGGTGCACCGCATCTGCGTGCCACATCGCGGGATCTCAACTTCATTCAACTCTACAGCCTGGATACGCTCTTCGTACTCGTGGGTCTGCCGCTGCTGCTGGTGGCACTGCTGCTTAAAGTATCTTGCAGATTGTTGCAGGGCCGTAAGCCGAAAGGCTGTCCGTATGCCGATAAACTGAAGAAACAGTAGACACACGCTCTGTGTTTGTTTTTGTATATAGTTTATTGTTATAAGTCTTATCAGTGTTTTAGGAGCTGTTATCACTGCTGTATAACAGCTGCTCTGCTATCACTGCTGTATAGAAGCTATTCTGTTATCTCTGTCTCTAAGTTGAAATTATATTTCCTCATTCTCCAAGTATTTGTGTGTTTTTTGTATGGAAAAGTGTGTCACGCACTTGAGTCTTTGTATTATTTGTGCTTTTGTTTCTTGGGGAAACACCTCTCAAGTGTCTATTTCTTGGGTTTTGATAAGAGCTTGTTGGCTGTTAGGTTGCTGACCTTAAAATATAGCAAATATTACCACACAATGAGGTTTGAAAGTATACGCCAATAAACAGCTAGTTTATTTGTACGGAAAACTGTCTGTCTACATGCGAAGAAGCTGGTATGTTAGGTATTTTATTTATTTATTTTAAGTATTTCTTTGGTACTTGTCTTTTATATTTCCGGTATTTTTCTAAAATATTTCTGGTATTTTTCTAGTATATATTCGGTATTTTTCTAGTATTTTCTGGTATTTTCTAGTATATTTATGCTATATTTCTGGTATTTTTGTTTTTTTTTCTCTTGTATTTTTCTAGTTCTTCTGTGCTTTTTTCGGTATTTTCATATAATATTTCTTGTTTTTTTATAGTATTTTTTAGTGTTATGTGTTTTGGTACTTTTCAGGTTTTTTATTGTTCGATATTTTCTGGTATTTTTCAGTTTGATTTACATACATCTAGTATTTCTCTGGCATTTCTTCTTTATTTAAATATAGTATTTTAGTATATTGATTTTATTTCTGTTCCATTGTTCTATTACTTCTCTGGTATATTTTCAGAACTTTCAGATAATTTTTTTTGGTATTTTTTGTAGTGTTTTAGCATTATTTTTATTATCTAGTATATGTTTGTTGATTCTCTTTTTATACGTTGATTCCCTTGTATTGCTTTAGTATTTCTCTGTCAATTTTTCGGTATTTTTATTATCTAATTTGTTATAGTATATATTTTTGTTTCGCTGGGTATTTTTCCGTATTTTTATATATTTTTCAGGTTTTTTTGGTAGTATTTTTAGTTTTGTTTGTATTATCTGGTATTTTCATACGGTTTTTTTTGTTATTTTAAATTTTTTTATTTTTTCTGGTATTTTTTTTAGTATATATCTAGCATACAAAATAAGTTGTTTTCCTTAAATTTCCCTTCCCTTTTTCTGGCTTTCTATCAGAGGAAAAGCGATTGATGTTTTCGTTTATTCCGTGTTCTTCCTAGTTTTAATCGATTTAGCACATTATTTAAATGAATTGTCAATCAATGATCAAGTCCTATCACACCTTTAAATGTTATCTGTGTGTTTTGCATACAAATTTTGCTGATGAAAGAGATCTACAGATACCAAGAGAAAGAGTGAGAAAATATATTCAAAAAGCGAAAGAGTACGAACCCCCAAATGCATCTTTCGTGCCTTGAATGCATCTCTTGTGGCGTATACGTAATATTTATTGATTATATTTATTTATTTCTCAATTTAAATTGAATATCATAAATTTTTTTGATGCCATTAACAGACCACACGTGCTGCTTGATTAAATGAAGGGCATTTTAGGGGAAATTTATCTTTTAAACCCTGCCTCCCTCTCTGAACAACTTTTCGGCCAAAAGTACACAAAAATTACCGTTAAAAAAGACTGTATCTTAATTGTGGGTTACTTTTTTTCACGGGGCACAATGCGAGAGAGAGATTGAGAGATTTTTCGTGCGAAAAAAAGTGAACCCAAATTTGTGTCCGTGCAGCAGCAGCAGCAGCAGGAGCAGCGGCAGCAGGACATCAGGACACGCCCTAAATCACTGGCTTTTTATCAACTTCAACTTGAAACGAAATTCAAATGTTTCGCTCGTTTTTTCTTCGCCTGCAAATGCGAGGCGGCTCCGGCTGTTGCCCCTAACAACTGGTAGGGACAGACACACATACACACACACACACACACAGACAGGAAAAAAAAGGCAGCGTGTCCCCCAAGCCACTTTGCACTAAGTACTCCACACAAAATTCCGTTTGAAGTTTTTCGGCTATCCGGCAGCTACCCTGGCGATGGCGATGGCGATGGCTGTGGCACACACCTGTACAGTGTGGAGGACTCTGTGGATCGTGCTTACCTCTTTCTGCTACGGTGCCGGCGCTTGGCTTGTAAATTGTATCCGTTTCAGGCACATAAATTGTTGTCAACTTCCGTTGGCTGCGACAACGTCGCCAACGCTGACCAAACGCCACTTCTGTGTGTCCGCCAGGGCCTCCTCTAACCCTTTGCCTGCCTGGGCTCTCCAAACGTATGGCCAGGCTTTGAGCTTGAGAGCATACGCCAGAAGAGCCAGGGCGTTTGTCTTTCTCTCTCTCTTACCTGTTTTTTTTTGTTGCTACCTTGTAATGGTGGGTGGAGTGAGGGTATATGGAGTCCGTGGTTTGGTATGTAACTGGGGGAAGGAGTACAGAAGGAGATCCCCTAAGAATAAACCCTAAGAATATGAGAGGGCCAGAGTATGGAGTATGGCGATCGAACCTGCTCGATCCAGAGTGGATCTTCTCTTGGAGATCAAACATGTTCGAGGCAATGCTCTTCAGTCGTGTTCGGTGTTATTTCTAGCTTTGCAACATGATACATGTATGAGACGTTGAAGAATCAAGACGATCGAATCGATATTCCCTTTCAAGGAGAACATTTCTTAGATTTTTCCAACATTTTTAATGATCTAAATTTGGTATCTATGTAATAAATCTGGTATTTTATTAGTATTTTTTGTGGTATATTTATATAACTTGTATTTCTGGTATTTTTATGTTACTTTTGGAATTTTTATGGCATTTTTAATGAAGTTTTGTGGTATTTTTTTAGTATTTTGTTATTGAATGGTGTTTCTGGTATTTCAGCTATTTTCTGGCATTTTTAACGAGCTTTTTGTGGTATTTTTGTAGTATTTTATAATTGAATGGTAAACCTCATATTTTTTCTGGTGTTTTTGTTATTTTTATGTAATCGAACGAACTTCTATGGTATTTTTTTAGTATTTTGCCATTTTTTAAATCTTTTTCTACTATTTTCTCTAAAATCGAATCCAGAGGTACCTTTTTAGTCCGCCTTATCGACTATTTCTTAGTTTCTGTAACCAACTTTTGCCCTGCATGTTTTTTTTTTTTTTGCCGTTGGTTTTTTGTTGCTGCTGCTACTCGATGCAGCAGCTTCCAAAACTCCAACGTAATTGAATTTTTAATCTCGTTTATAGTCAAGTGATCTCTGGCATACACTCTGCTTGCCGCTGCTGGCCGGTGTTCCGGGTGCTACCGGTGTACAACTGCCGCATATTTTACGTGCCCGGTGCTTGGGCCTGGCCTGGCCTGGCCTTGCCTTGTCCTGTTCCTGTTCCTGTTACTGCTCCAGGACGCCCACACTCCGTGCCACTGTAGAGGCAAATACACTGCGCAAATAAAGTTACGCCTGCCAGGGACACCCGCCTCATAATGAGAGAGCGAGCCCGTCGTTATGCTAAATAGTTGGCCAAAAAATGTATATTTTTTTTCTTTTTTTGGGGGGAGGGGGTGGGGGGCTGCCCTCTGCAGGAGCTACAGCAATTGCATATTCAACTTTTGTGCGGGGAATGTAATAAAATATATCCTCAAACAATACCCGGGGCTCTCCGGGGCTCTGTCTGCGGCGACGATGACACAAAGGACCTTTAATAACCGAACCGCTTCTGGCCATATGGAAAAGTGTGCAAATGCAAATGTTTTAATGGAGTTATGCGATTACCTCCTAACCGACACAGAGAAAACTAAAGTTTGAGCTTGGTTTAAGGAAGGCAAATCGAAATCCTGCCCCACCTGCCACCTGCCATGCCCTGCCCTGCCGCATTCTAAGGGGGTTCTGGATGTGGATGTGGATGTGGATGTGCCGTGTCAAAGGCGAGTAAACGTGTGCATCATTAACTGGCGCTTACGTGCCGACTATGCGCGACGTTCAATTAGGGGCCTTAATTATAAGCAGGACGAGGCACGGCCCCCTATCCAGCCCCGGGCGTTGCATACTTTTTGGCTTGTGACACAGTTTTCTTATGCTTTCGCTGCAGCTTTGACTGCCACTCAATTATCGTGTTTTTTTCTTCTTGAAGGAGTTTCTTGAGTCCTTGATTCGATAACGCATGATAGCAGATTAAACGAAAGGAAATTGAGGCATAAATTAAGGAATTTCTCGGGGCGGGATGTTCGACATTGCTTTGCAGGTTTTTCATTTCGTGTGAATTCGAGTATACTTACTGCGGCTTGGTGTAGCACATCTAGTACGTTAGGGATTTCTCTGGTATTTTTCAGTTATATTTGTGGTATTTGTATGGTAAATTTTTGGTATTTTACAAATAATTTTTTGGCATTAATCTATGTAAAGCATTTCTATATATTTCTAGTATTTATCCGGTATTACATATATATTTTTGCTGTATTATCTTGAATTTTTCAGCCTTTTTTCTATTATTTAATTTTCTGGTATTTTTCTAGTGCTGTTCTGGTACAGCTTTGGTATTTTTCTAGTATTTCCCATTTTAAGTATTTCTCGGTGTTTTCGTAGTATATTTGTGATATTTAGTTGGTATATTTCTAGTATTATACAAGTATTTTTCCAACATTAATTTATGATGAGTATTTTAGATATTTTTCTTGTATTTTTCTAGTAAATTTGTGGTATTTATCTGGTATGTTTCAGTATTTTTTCTTTAATTCCATTTTTCTAGTTTTTTTCTATTATTGTTCTAGTATATCTTTGGTATTTTTCAAGTATATTTCTGGTATTTTTCTGAAAATTTTTAGTCGTTTTTCTTGTTTTATATAGAATTGTTCTGATATTTTTCATATAGTTTTACTCTCCGGTATTTACTTGTAATTTTCTAGTATTTTCCTGGCCTTTCTCTAGTATTTTTCTAGTATTTAATGGAATATTCTCGATTTTGGGTGCCATTTCCTAAGATACCTTCACGATTTGAATGATGCCCTAACTCTAAACTTTAAGCTTCACAGAGAGATTCGTTGGTATCTTTCGTTGGCTTAAATTGTGCTACAAAGTGGAAAATTAGTTTCACTTTTTTCCAATCCCCCGCCACACTCCACCCGTCG